CCTGCATCTATTGAGAATAACATATGGTTTTGTTCTTTTCTCTTATTGATATGACCTATTATATTAATTGATTTACAAATACTGAATCACCCTTGCATCCTGGGAATAAATCCCACGTGATCGTGGTGAATGATTTTTTAAAATTTATTGTTGGATTCGGTTGGCTAATATTTTGTTGAGGATTTTTGCATCTATATTCATCAGAGATACTGGCCTGTAGTTTGCTTTTTTTGTAATATCTTTATGTGGTTTTGGTATCAGGGTAATGCTGGCCTCACAGAATGAATTTGGAAGCTTTCCTTCCTCATCTATTTCTTGGAATAGTTTGAGAAGAATAGGTATTAACTTTTATTTAAATGTTTGGCAGAATTCACCTGTGAAGCCATATGGTCCTGAACTTCTGTTTGTTGGGAGTTTTTTTGTTTGTTTTGTTTTTTTTTTTAAAGATTTTATTTATTTATTTGAGAGAGAGAGCACATGAGATGGGGGAGGGTCAGAGGGAGAAGCAGACTCCCTGCTGAGCAGGGAGCCCGATGCGGGACTCGATCCAGGGACTCCAGGATCATGACCTGAGCCGAAGGCAGTCGCTTAACCAACTGAGCCACCCAGGTGCCCATGTTGGGAGTTTTTTGATTACTGATTCAATATCATTTCTAGTAATTGGTTTGTTCAAATTTTCTATTGTGTCCTGATTCAGTTTTGGAAGGTTATATATTTCTATAATTTATCCATTTCTTTTAGCTGTCCAAATTGTTGGTATACAGTTTTTCATAGTATTCTCCTATCATCTTTTGTATTTCAGTGTTCTCGGCTGTTATTTCTTCTCTATTTCTGAATTTGAGTCCTCTCTCTCTCGGTAAGTCTGGCTAAAGGTTTATCAATTTTGTTGGTCTTTTCAAATAACCAGCTTCTGGTTTCATTGATCTATTCTATTTGGTTTTTTTAGTCCCTATTTCATTCATTTTTGCTCTAATCTTTATTTCTTCCTTCTACTGACTTTGGGCTTTTTTTGTTGTTGTTGTTCTTTCTTTTCTAGCCCCTTTAGGTGTAAGGTTAGGTTGTTTATTCAAGATTTTTATTCTTTCACGAGATAGGCCTATATTGGTATAATCTTCATTTAAGAACACTTTTTGCTGCATCTCAATGACTTAGAACCATTGTGTTTTCATTTTCATTTGTCTCCATGTATTTTTTCATTTCTTCTTTGATTCTTTGTTGATCCATTGGTTGTTTAGTAGTATGTTGCTAAGCTTTAAGTGTTTGTGTTTTTTTCCATATTTTTCTCACAATTGATTTTTAGTTTTATATCTTTTTGTTTGGGAATGATGCTTGATGTGGTTTTATCTTCTTAAATTCAGAGACTTGTTTTGTGCCCTAATATGAGATCTGTTCTGGAAAATGCTCTGTGTGCACTTGAAAATAAGTGTATACTGCTGTTTTTTGATAGAATGTTCTGAATCTATATGATGTTAATTTCATCTGGTCCAATATGTCATTCAAAGTCACTGTTTCCTTTATTTTTCTGTATAGATGATGTACCCACTAATGTAAGTGGGGTGTTAAAGTCAATTATTATTGTATTAATTTCTTCTTTTATGTCTGTTCACACATGATGTTTTTGGGTGCTCCCATGTTGGGTGCACAAATATTTACAACTATTATATCTTCTTCCTGGCTTTTCCCCTTTATCATTATGTAGTGTCCTTGTCTCTTGTTACAATATTTGTTTTAAAGCGTGTTTTGTGCAATAGAAGTATTGCTCTCCTGGCTTTCTTTTCACTTCTACTTACATGGTAAATGTTTGTGTCTTTCCTTTCAGTCTCCATGTGTCTTTAGGTCTGAACTGAGTCTCATGTAGGTAGCACTTAGATGGCGCTTGTATTTTTTATCCATTCAGTCATCCTATGTGTTTTGATTGGAGCATTTATAGTCCATTGACACTCAAAGTAATTAATGATAGGTATGTAGTTATTGCCATTTTGTAACTTGTTTTATGGTTGTTTTTGTAGTTCTTTTCTTTCCTCCCCCCATCTTCCCCTTTCCCTTGTGATTTGATGGCTTTCTTCAGTGTTATGCATGGATTACGTTCTCTTTACTTTTTGTGTATCTACCACAGGTTTTTGCTTTGTGGTTACCATTAAGTTCATATATAATATTTTATGCATATAACAGTCTATGTTAGGTTGATGGTCAGTTAAGTTTGAAGTCATTTTTAAAGTAGTAAAATTTTACTTCTCCCACATTTTATGTATATCATACTTTACATCCTTTTATTTTATGAATCTCTTGATTACTTTTATAGATATAATTTATTTTGTTTTTCTGCTTTAATCTCCATACTGGTTTTAAAAGTGATTAATACACCATTTTTATTATATGTTTACATTTACCTGTGAAATTTTTTCCTTTCATAATTTTCTTACTCCTAATTATGGCCTTTTCTTTCCAAAGATTTCCCTTTAATTTCTCTTGAAGGCTGGTTTAACGGTGATGAATTCCTTGAACTTTTATTTGCCTGGAAAACCCTTTATCTCTCCTTGTATTCTGAAGATAGCCTTACTGTGTAGAGTATTCTTGATTACAGGTTATTTTTCTGTTAGTAGTCTGAATATACCATGCCACCCCTGTCTGGCCTATAAAGTTTCTGCTGAAAAATCAGGTGAAAGCCTTAAGGGGTTTTCCTTGTATATAACTGTTTTCTTTTCTCTTGATGCTTTTAACATTCTCTCTTTATCACTACTTTTTGCCATTTAGTTATTATGTGTCTTGGTATGGACCTCTTTGGGTTGATTTTGTTGTGAGTTCTGTGTACCTCCAGAATCTGGATGTCTGTTTCCTTCCCCAGGTTAGGAAAGTTTTCAGCTATTATTTCTTCAAACAATTCTTCTGCATCCTTCTCTCTCCTCCTTCTGGGATTGCTATAATGTGAATGTTATAATCCTTAATGATGTTCCTGGGTTCCCTTAATCTATTCTCATTTTTTATTATTCTTTTTTCTTTTTGCTGTTCAGCTTGATTCTTTTCATTACTCTGTCTTCTAGCTCACTGATCCATTCTTCTGTCTCCTCTAATCTGCCATTGATTCCCTCTAGTGTAGTTTTTTTTTTTTTAAGATTTTATTTCTTTATTTGACAGAGAGAGAGAGTGTGCAATCAGGGAGAGCAGCAGAGGGAGAGGGAGAAGCAGGCTCTTCACTGAGCAGGAAGCCCAATGCAGGGCTCGATCCCAGGGATCATGACCTGAGCTGAAGGCAGATGCTTAACTGACTGAGCCACCCAAGTGCCCCCCACCTAGTGTATTTTTAATTTCAGTCATTAAGTTCTTCATCTCTCATTGCTTTTTTTATATTTTCTATCTCTTTATTAAAGGTTCATTGAAATTCTCCACTCTTCTGTCTAGTCCAGTGAGTATCTTTATGACCATTAATTTGAATTCTTTATCAGGCATATTGTTTATCTCTGTTTCAATTAGTTCTGTTGCTTTACTTTTGTCCCATTATCTCATCTGGGACATATTCATCTGTCTCCTAATTTTGCCTCTTTGTGCTTGTTTCTATGTATTAGGAAATTCTGCTAAGTCTCCTGATCTTGAAAGTAGTGGCCTTATGAAGAAGAGGTCCTGTGGTGTCCTGTAGCATAATGTCCACTGTTCACCAGAACCAGGAGCTTCAGGTGTATCATCTAGTGAGTTGTGTGTACCCTACTGCTGCGGCTAAGCTGTCATGCCTTCAGTCATTAGATGCAATGGTCCACTTTTCATGTTCTGGGTGTACCAGGCAGGGTTTGGTCCCTGTGCTGTTAAGGGAAGAGTCTGGGGCCACTGTGGGCTTGTAATTCAGTAGTGTGAGCAGCCAGACCAGATGCCTGTTCTCAGCCCCTCTGCCTGGGCTGCAGTCATATCAAATTGCGGGGTGTTCTCCCTCTGTTGCCCCCGAGAGGCTTTCATTGGTGGGCAGGGCCTGTAGTCAAACCAGATGCCTGGCCCCAGTCCATGTGTTAGGGCTGCAGTAGCATCAACCTTTAGGGTGCTCTTCTTGCCTTTTCCTGACAGGCTTTTGATGGTGGGTGGGGCCAACAGTCAGACCAGATGCCTGCCCAGTCTGTCTGCTGTTGCCGCAGTTGCACTGCTGTATGTGGTTATCTTCTCCTCTCCTGTCTCCCCAGGACAGGAGTCACTTTGGAGTGGTGCAGGTCCCTGCCAGGGCTGCTTTGGAGGGATGCTTGCTAAGTGGGGCAGATCCCCAGAATGCAGGATGTGGTGTATGTTGTGTTGGCAAGATAGGTGGAAGAGTGTTCCTGCTGATTCCTGTAACTGTCTAGCTATCTAGGCTGGGGGTGGGGGCAGAGAAATGGATGCCCACTAGCTCTTCTGTTCTTAGAGAAATCTCCTAAAGATCTCTGCCCCTCCAGCACACATTCTGAGATTAGTAAATAAATGTCCTTCATGTGTATACCAGGCACTTTTCAAACTGCTGCTTCTATGCTATCTTGGTAGGGTTTTTTTTTTGGTTTTGCTGGCTCTTTAAGGCCAAGCCTCAGTTTCTAATTGCTCTGTGGGCCTCCCACAGCTAAGCCAGATGATTTTTAAAGCACCTGGCATTATGTTCCACTGACTGTAAAAACGCAGAAAGTTAAGCCCCATAACTTCTTAAAGCCTAATATTTTGGGGACCTGTCTTTCCAGTGTAGTTTCCCCTCCTGCCTAAGATGCCTGGTGTGGGATCTGCTCCTCTCCCTTTTCCATGCTTATGGTGTTCCTTCCATTCATGGTTAATCTCAGTGGGATTTTGGTTCCAGACTGTGTCTGCCCCTCCTACCCTTTTCAACGTGGCCTCCCATCTGCAGTCAACTACAAAGTCTGTTCTGCCAGGGTGTTCTTGTGTTATTTGCACTGATGTGATTATCTAGATGTGTCTGTGGGACAGGTGAGCTCAGGATCCTCCTATTCTGTCATATTCCCCAAAATCCCCCACATACTAAACTTTAAAGTTAAATCTCTTACCTGGTCCAAGACAATGATTTCATCTGCATCAACCACTGTTGACAATCTGTGTGCAATGAAAATAGAAGTTCTGTGTTTGACTGCATCCTTCATTGCACTAAGAATAGTCTGCAAGTTTGACAAGAAGAGTAGGAAAAAAGATTAGGTAAATGCAAATTAAAATAATCATATATTTCTTAAAGGAACACATAAAATGCCAATGAATTTTTTATTTTTTTATTATTTTTTCAAGATTTTATTTATTTATTTGACAGCGAGATAGTGAGAGAGGGAACACAAGCAGGAGGCGTGGGAGAGGAAGAAGCAGGCTTCCCGCGGAGCAGGGAGCCTGAGGCGGGGCTCAATCCCAGGACCCCAGGATCATGACCTGAGCCGGAGGCAGATAAGCTTAACGGCTGACCAGGTGCCCCTGAATTTTTTATTATATAAACTTTATATCACAAGCATATTCGACCTAATCTAGTAATTACTAAGAGGAGAAAACTGATCAAAAAGGGAAGGCAAATATGACATTATCATGGAAAAAATTATCTTTTAGATAGGCAACATTTCTTTAAATTAGAAAGACTCAGAGAAGGTGGATATTTCTATACTTAAAAATAAATAAACAATAATGATGAATTGAGTGATATCAGGAACATAGCTGGGTATGATGTTTATCTGGCCAATGAGAACAAAAATAAAATGAGATAGGACTCAAGTGATAAGATGTAGAAAATTTCAAATCAATAGAAAGATAGGAGATTCAAAGGGTACAAGAACATTTGCTTTTCATTAGTTCAAACTCAGAGGACAGAAAGGGCAACAAAGACAACTGTGTATGGTAACTTGAGCAAACTTCCTTTTCAAAAGTATTCTGACTTCTTTATCCATCATCAATTGATGGACAGCTGGGCTACTTCCATATCTTGGCTATTGTAAATAATGTTGCTATACACATAGGAGTGCATGTGTTACATTGAATTGGTGTTTCTGTATTTTTGGGGTAAATACCCAGTAGCACAATCACTGGATCATACAGTAGTTCTATTTTTAACTTTCTGAAGAACCTCCATTCTGTTCCCCAAAGTGGCTACACCAGTTTGCATTCCCATCAACAGGGCACCAATGTTCCTTTTTCTCTACAACCTCGCCAACACCTGTTGTTTCTTGTGTTTTTGATTTTAGCCATTCTGACAGGTATGAGGTGAGATCTCGTAGTTCTGAATTGCATTTCCCTGATGACAAGTGATGTTGAGCATCTTTTCATGTGTCTGTTTGCCATTTGGATGTATTCTTTGGAAAAATGTCGTTTATGTCTTCTGCCCATTTTAAAAATTTATTAGAAAGTTTTTATTTAAATATACAATGAAAAATAATTCAGCCATAAAAATAAAAAAAGAATGAAATCCTGCCATTTGCAATGACATGCATGGAGGTAGAGAGTATAATGCTAAGTGAAATGTTAGTCAGAAAAAAAAAACCAAATACCATACAATTTCACTCATAATAATAATTTAAGAAACAAAACAAACAAGCAAAGGAAAAAAGAGAAAAAAAATGAGACAGAGACAAATCAAGAAACAGACTCTTAAGTATAGAAAAGAAACGAATGGTTACCAGAGGAGAGATGGGTAGGAGGACGGATGAAATAGGTAATGGGAATTAAGGAGTACAATTGTGATAAGCACTGAATAATGTATGAAATTGTTGAATCACTATATTGTACACCTGAAACTAATATAACACTCTATGTTAACTATACCGGAACTAAAATAAAATTAAAAAAGAACAAAAACCCTTATATCATAATGAACTAAAAAAAAAAAGAAAAACAGCAAGAGGATGGAAATGGTTACACAGAGAGCAAAGCTGTCATTTTAGAAGACAGTGTAATAAAGCTGAGAATGAAATGTCTAGCTCCAGGGGCACCTGGGTGGCTCAGTCGTTAAGCGTCTGCCTTCGGCTCAGGTCGTGATCCCAGGGTCCTGGGATTGAGCCCCGCATCAGGCTCCCTGCTCCGCGGGAAGCCTGCTTCTCCCTCTCCCACTCCCCCTGCTTGTGTTCCCTCTCTCGCTATGTCTCTCTCTGTCAAATAAATAAATAAAATATTAAAAAAAAAAAAAAAAGAAAGAAATGTCTAGCTCCATTTCCCCTTGCCCCAGAAGCAAGGACAGCTTCCTCCCAACACCTCTGGCCTTTCCTGAACACAAGCATTCTATGCAGGGCACATTGAAATGGTGTGGGACTATCTTTGTCAAAATAATTCTGAAGAGTAAGTTTTTAGAATGCTTTTTTTCCTCCAAAATATCCAAGATCCGGAAGAAATAGGCCAGCCTCCCCAGTTATAAACAGAGGGAATGACTCTGAGACACCGGCCCTGAATAGCCAACTGAATAAAGAGCAAAAGGAAGGAAATGGGGGGAAAATATTCTGACTTCTTAATTCTGGAAAACACTTTTTATTACAATATAATTAACACTGTTATATTAATTTCAGGTGTACAATATAATGATTCAATAATTTTATACATTACTCAGTGCTCATCATGATCAGTGTACTCTTAATGCCCTTTATTTCACCCATCCTCCCACCAACCTCACCTTTGACAACCACCAATTTGTTCTCTGTATTTAAGAATCTGTTTGGAAAACACATTTTTATTTACTGCCTTTAAAGTGTAAGAGAGTTGTATATATATTCAGCTATACTTAGAAACCTGGGTCTAAGTATAGCTAGCAGGATGGAAATAGCAATGTGTGGTTGGACATATACCCAATGGCTCCCTACAGATATTTCTAAACATTGTATTTATTAAAGGAATAAAATTATCAAGAGTAGATGGCTACCCAGGAAGGGAAGACCTTATATTTTACTAAGGCAGACGGAAAATCAAATGCAGGGCCAATTCTAAGAAAAACTGTGATGTTTGTGGGGACTCATCTTCCTTATTCTCAAAAACTTAAGCTCTGACATCCTACTAAGTGCTATGGAACTTTTAAAAAGGCCCATTAAAATTTACCAAATATTCTGCTAACTCATTCCCTTGGGGGGTTCTCTACTAGCTCTTAATGGGTTATGCTCTGTGATATAATAAAGCTACATGACTCAAATAATGACTGTTAGGACTTTTAATTTGTGGTAAACATGGATAATACATTTGAAAGTATAAAGTTCTTGTAAGCAGATTCCTACTCTGCCTATGAATAGGAGAGGGAGAGAGAGGGGGAAGGGACAGAAGGAGAAGGAGAGGGAGAGAAAGAATCTTAAGCAGGCTCCACGCCCATTGCAGAGCCCTATCCTGGACTCCATCTCACAACCCTGAGATCATGACCTGAGCCTAAATCAAGAGTCAGACGCTTAACCGACTGTCACCCAGGCGCCCCAGGGTTCCCTTTAAATATAACAAATCCTTATGCTAAACAAGTCACTTAGATATTAAACTATTTTAAACATATGGCAGATCGAATAATATGACCTGAAACTTAACGACATATGCAAATATAATGCCATACATGCTGCAAAGCTGAAATTAAGCCTATCCTTCAACACTGGGTTTTTTCTATATATTTGAGTAAAATGTAGATGAATGGAGGTAACTGACAGTATCTGCCTATCTTCAGTTCTAGATTAAGGGAATCCATTCATGAAATTATCATTATTGTTAAGACTTTTTTTTTTTTTTAAGATTTTATTTTTTATTTATTTATTTGAGAGAGAGAGTGAGAGAGAGAAAGAGCACAAGAGGGGGGAGCGGGAGAGGGAGAAGCAGACTCCTTGCTGAGCAGGGAGCCCGATGCGGGACTCGATCCTGGGACTCCAGGATCATGACCTGAGCCGAAGGCAGTCGCTTAACCAACTGAGCCACCCAGGCGCCCTGTTAAGACTTTTATATTTAATGCAAAGATGTTGTTATGAAGTCTAATGTAGTTGCTGAGTTGTACCACAACATCAAGTGTTATAACTTCTTGGTGCTGCACAGTATTTTTTGTGAAATGAATATAAATTTATACCAGCACCACAGGCTGTGTGTGCCTGACTTGTACTTTAGTGAGTTGCTCCATGATAAGTGCAAGGTTTTCTGGTGTGTACTGTGTCACAATCACTTACATGACCTATTTTCATGAGTGTTAAGTAGCAATAGCAGAAAAACTAAAACATTCTTCCTTTATCAGCAGATTAGGCAATTCTTACAAGCTTTACAAGATGTAAGGATAACACAATAGTCACAAGGTTCCAAAAGGAGACCCTTTTGCAAATGGACTTAGCAATGTGATAGTTCAATGCGACCTGGCATTCTTATTATCAACACTTGCTATATGGGGACAAAGGGCCAGGTATATTGCCCTACAGTATCTCCTAAAGTTCATTCAAAATAGAAAAGAATGTAGTCATTTTACTGAAACTTTCAAGGAGAAAAGTTAAGCATTGAGAATTGAGTTCTGCATTTTCATCATCATTTACCTCTTCAGTAATTGAATCTAATGATGAAGTGGCTTCATCATAGAGAATGACTGCAGGATCCTTCAAAATGGCTCTTGCAATTGCTACTCTTTGCTTTTCTCCTCCTGGTAAAGAAAAATTTAGTTTAAGGAAATATAATACAAAGACATATTTTATGTTTCTGGTATTTCCACTGATCATAACATGTACTTCTACTCTGACCACTGTTCAGTTTACTCAGAAGAGTATAAGTTCATATATGATATCCTTTGACAAACCATATACCCTGGAACATAAATATAACTCTGGATTCTGACTTTGTGGCAGGCGAAGAAAACAAGGAGGAGCGGTAACAGCTTCGATTCCACAATTATTCCTCTCACCGAGAATATGCTCATTACATGTGTTACTTTATATTACTTCCCAATGCACAGCAACCAAAGATAGAAAAACTTCAATATTAGAGAATCAACAAAGCTAAAACCAAGTTTAGTAACTGAAACCTGGCAATTTGAAAACATGAAACTATGAATATTTATATTTATTTCTTAACAAAAATGTATCTATCATTCAGCCAGTATTCTTCTCAAGGATTCTTGTGACAGATATTATTTTCACAGCACTCTTCAAAGTTAAAGGTGTACACTAGATACCTCTAATTTCACCTTAGTTATTTGCTTTGGGTCTCTAGAACAGCAGAATTGTAAAACAGAAAGGAAACAGAGGCCCAGAAAGGTTTAGTGATTTGCCCAAGATCACAGCGCAACTTCCAGTGGAATCTGGACTAGACCTGACTCCCAGTTCAATGCTCTTCCTATCATAATATGCAAGCCCGTATTTGTTCCTAAATATACTCTAGTGAAAATAAACCAATCTTCCTTTCCTCACTGGGACGCTTAAAGGTCTAAGGTCATCAATCTTAAATAGAACTATAGCTGGAAGTATAGAGGATGATGGTTTGCTGAATATGTCCCCTTTGGCTTCTTTTCTTTTTCCATTATCCATTAATTTATCAATGTCTGAAAAAACTTGTATTTTTCAGTTTCAGTAACCCTTTCAGGAAAAAAGCTCCACCTATTTATTATCTGGTACACCAAATATTGTTTCAGTTTTATTTTTTTCTGCATAATTTTCAACTTGTAAAGACGGCTCTATATATCTAATATTAGTAAGTTTATATTTATACTATCCACATTCTTCCCCATTTAATAAGATCAAAATTCTCCCACCAAAGCAGGCATCATGCCAGAACTATCTCCTTATCTACCTAGCAACTCAGCGGCAGAAACCTCCTGAAAGATGTAGTAGATACTCAGAGGAAGGACTAGTTTAGACATGCCTCTCAAATTTCAAGTGGAAACCAACCCAGTTTCAATTCTATTCAATAGAATTTTGGAACTGGAGAAGAAACATTTGTTTGTTCCCTACCATAAATATTAGCATAGATGCTAAATAATACAATGCTCATTTGAAAAGGTCTAGCTGTAGGGCAATGGATATTAGGCAAGAATAAAATTTCTTATTTCTACTCCCAAAGGCATGCAGAGAGGAAAAAAAGAACGATGGGAAAATGGCATGTGGCATAGCTATCTGAAGCAGTCTTATGTTGAGAGGCCTAGTTTATATTATGTGAAAACTTGGAGATATTTAGAATTAGCCAACTGGACAAATCATCCAGGGGTGGTCTAGTTAGCTGGGCACTACTCCTGTTAAGAGCAATGGTGAAGTACAAACGGGAACTGGAATGATTCAAGAATCTTATACTACCAGGTGTTAATCAAAAAACTACTACAAACCAACCTAACTTGAAAATGATCTTTGCTTAACATTTTCTAAACCTAAATCAAAACTTCCTTTCTTTTTTTTTTTTTTAAAGATTTTATTTATTTATGTGACACAGAGAGACACAGCGAGAGAGGGAACACAAGCAGGGGGTGTGGGAGAGGGAGAAGCAGGCTTCCCGCCGAGCAGGGAGCCCGATGAGGGGCTTGATCCTAGGACCCTGGGATCATGACCTGAGCCGAAGGCAGTCGCTTAACCGACTGAGCCACCCAGGCACCCCAAATCAAAACTTTCTAATGGACTGCAAATTCCTTGATGGCAAGTCCATTTATGCTTCATCTTTTTAACTCTCAAATCATTTAGCATGTTAGCCTGTACATAGTATGTACCTAATCAATGTTGTGAATAAATGAAGCCAGTTTGTAATGAAAAGGAATGGGGATTCATTAAAATTCATGCAGAGTATTCTTTATTCTCTTTTTTGCCTCACCTTGATCCCTAATTTATATATTTCCTCCCTAAATTAAACTAGAATAAAGAATAAATGTAAAGGATATAGTGTGTTTATATGAGTTACATTAATACTTTCAGGCATAGATATCATGCTTTTGGAATTCAAATAATTTTGGGTGAAAAACCATTTTTATGTATCCCCCAAAAATTCAGTCATTGTAGGATAATTATTAACCTAGCAATCTCATAATTAAACACTTAAATAGAAATGTACAAGCTCCAAAATTTACTTGACCACTGAACCAACAAGGACATGAAAATGAAACTGGCTGTAATGAAAGTACAGCAGTTAAGTACATCAAGTATAAGGAAGTCTAAAGTATTGAAAACATCCCATCATGATCTAGGAAATTATGATGAGATACACTATTTACTATCAAATTACTTTTCCCTACTCTTACTACTTTCTCAGGTAAATAATGATGTTGGCTTTAATATTAAAATTATGGTTAGTTAACGCTGACCTGAGCATGTATTAGCAATTTAATTTTAAGCATTTCCAGTTTGCGGCTGCAAGTGCAAAAAAAAGAGAGACCTTCATGACTTGAGAACAGTTATTGCCAACATGTTGAATTATTTAGTGATGGCTGAGACTGGGACCTTTTTGAAAGTGACTAGATGAGCACTAGGTGTGTACTCTGTCATTACATTTTCTAGAAAATGGCTCTGACTAATTAAAGTTTGAAGGGAGTACACAAGTGGGAGCAGATCTAAAATCTCTGATTACCTGAAAGTTTGAGTCCTCGTTCCCCTACTTGTGTGTCATATCCATGTGGCATTCGGAGAATTGCATCATGGAGTCCAGCTAATTTTGCCACTGCATACACCTCCTCAGGTGAAGCATGGATGTTTCCATATAAGAGGTTGTAGTAAATGGTATTATGGAAGAGGACAGCATCCTAGAGAAGATTTATATATATGTACATATATATGTATGTTCATTACAAAAAGTTCAAACAACTTAGTAAAGACATAAAGGCATAAAGAGTAAAACATAACTCCTTTATCACCCCCCTCATCCCTGCAATCCCATTTCCCTTCCGAGCTCTAATCACCATGAACAATTGTTGATTATCGGTGCAGACTTTTCTTGATGCATCTATATGCCATATACTTTTTTCTTCAACACAGTGGGATCATACTATACATAGATATTATTTTTATAAATCGCTTTTTTCACTTAACATACGCTGGAAACTGCTCACGTCAGTAACAGAATCCTACCTCACTTTTTTAAAGATTTTATTTATTCATTTGAGAGAGAGAGAGAGAGAGAGCACAAGCAGGGGGAGAGGCAGAGAGAGGGAGAAGCAGACTCCCTGTTGAGCTGGGAGCCCGACATGGGGCTCAATCCCAGGACCTGGAGATCATAAGACAGACCCTTAACCATCTGAAACACCCAGACGCCCCCTACCTCACTTTTTTAACAGTTGTATGATACTATTTATTTCTCTGATAGACATTAATGTAGTTTCCAAATTTTTGCTACTATAAACAATGTTGGAATAAAATATTATTGTATATAGGACTTTGTACACTTGCATATTTCTGTAAGAAGGATTCCTAGGAATAGACTGATGAGTTAAAAGGTTCTGGCTCCCTGCCCAGCGGGGAGCCTGCTTCTCCCTCTCCCTCTGCCCCTTCCTCCTCCCCTCCTCATGCTCTCTCTCACCTCTCTCTCTGTCATTTAAATAAAATCTTAAAAAAAGGTAAGCATATACTTATCCTTTGATAGTACTGCCCAACTGTCTTCCAAAATGCTCCAACAGTATACATACTCCAACCCATAGTGTATGAGGGTGTCAAATCCCCGTATCTTCAACAACTCTGCATATTAATAAGTTTCAGTTGTTGCTACTTTTTGGGGTAAAATGTGCTGTCTGTTTAAATTAGCACTTCCCTAATTACTAATGAGGTTGAATATGAAGCTTTTAAATTGGGACACAGAAAACAACTTTTTTACTTGGACACAGAAAACAAAGGATTTATACACTATAGATATTTTTTGGAGAAAGGTCACTGCAAGCATTCATTTGATATTTCATTTTATTCTGACATAGCACACTAAAGCTAATTTACTTAAAGTGAACATCCATCTCCCACTTTCCTTTTAGTCTCTAAATGGTTGGAGGGCAACAGTTAGTAAGATGAAATAAAATGGCTCCATTAGTTCACATTAGCCAAGATAATTAAGATCTTATTTAACATCACAATCAGCCCCAGTTTCAGATATTACTTCAAATAATATTTTAATCATTTTTATACCAACTACTAATATAAAATGTTCTTATATTGAAATGGTACTTAAACCCAATAAACTTAAAGTTCTATAAAGAGAAAATACTTATTTTTAAGTATTTTATATTCAAAAAAGAGCTAACAAATGCTACCTGGAAACTTTGAAAATACAAAAAAATATGGTAAAATAAAATTTTATTAAATAATCCATAATCCTACCATGTATCAATAACTGCTATCAACATTTTGGTTTATTTTCTCCTTTCTTCTCTAGTTACATGTATTCATTTAGTATTATAAAATTGGGATGTTATATTTTGCTTGGTATCCTCTTTTTAAGAAACTTTGAGTATTTTTCTATGACACTCAATATTCTTTACAAGCAGCGTATTTATAAATCGCTATGTGACATTTGATCCTATGGTGATAAATTTAACCATCTACTTATTGTCGGATATTCACACTGTGAATTTCAACTTCTGATATTATAAATAATGGTGTAATGAACATCTTTGCATATAAAAATCTGTTCACATCTCTGTTAATTTCCTTACTAAAACTTCCTAGAGGCAGAATTATTGGAATAAAGGGTATCAATATTTTTCTGGCTCTTGATACATATTGCTAAGTTGCTTGTCAGGAAAACTATATACTTCCACCAGCCAAACAACAGACTAGCCATTTTACACAGCCTTGCCCAAACTGGATATTATGAATTCTAAAATCCTTGCTGACAGGTGAAAAATGGTATTCCATTGTTGATTTAGTTTGCATTGGTAAGCCCTCCAGTGAGGATCAGCATCTTTTCTTTCACTTATTAACCGTGTATATTTTTCCTTAGTGAATAAAATGTTTTATTTTTTAAAAGGTCAGCGTAACTGTTATATAGCCTAAGAGAATGGCAGCAATCTAGTTGAATGGATGAGGACACTGAGCCCTAAGCAGACACAGCCCAGAATTCAACTCACTTTATATACAGGTCAGTGTTTCTCAACACAGACTCTATGGATCACCTATATCAGAATCATCTAGGAGGCGTATTAAAAAATGCAGGTTCTTGGGCCCCACATAGCTCTCCTAAACCAGAACTAAGGTGTGTGAAAGAGTTGGAATTTCAATAATCTCCCTAGGCAATTCAGGCATACTAACACTGGAGATTCTCAGTGAAGAGGGAGAACAGTACAGAGTGTCAGTTCATTTGGGAACCTTTTATAAGTTACATATCCCTGTCTGATCCCTTTCTTACAGTTGTCTCTAGAACTTAATTCAGATTCTAGGCTGCAACTTGTTCCCAGGTCTCTCTATTGGCTTTTAGCATAAGAAAAATTCACATCCTATAAGGCATCCTTGTTGTCTTCTCAGGTTTTGCTCTGAATTTATTTTTCCCCCTGAAGTCATTCAACAAATACTTATTAAATACTTACTACAGGTCAGGCACAAAGAGGACAGTGGTAAACAAGGCATACAAACATGGAAGCAGATAGTCAAACTGCTTCACTATGTCAAAAACTGCTCAAAATCACAGTAATAGTTTTCATTTACTGAACAATTATGTAATGGACATTGTGCTGTGCTTTTTATAAGATATTATCTCTAATTCATAATAATTCTATCCTGTAAGACAAATGGTTATTATCCTTATTTTAAAGATAAGGAAACTGAGGACCAAGACCATAGAACTTATAAGGGTTAGAGATGGGGTTAGAATCCAGATCTGTTTGTCTTTAGTCTGGGCTCTTTCCTTTATATTATGCTATCTTTCTAAGACTTAAACAAAAATCTTTCCATCATGCAGATTTTCCATTCACATTTTTTTAGTCTTTTTGGTAACATAATTTAAACTGTAGGGTCTAACGCTTCCTACTTAGTTAGCATGTATTGACCGTTTTGTTTTTTTTTTCTTTTTTTGGGAGAGAGAACGAGCCTGCACACAAGCAGAACGGGGAGGGGCAGAGGGAGAGGGAGAGAGATAATCCCAAGCAAGCTCTACATGTCCAGCGCAGAGTCCAACGTGGGGCTTGATCTCACGATCCCTGAGATCATGACTTGAGCTGAAATCAAGAGTCAGACGCTTAACCGACTGAGCCACCCAGGTGCCCCTATATTGACTCTTTGAATTCAAATTATTCTAACAAAAGATCTACCAATCTAATCTTCCCCCAAATAGGTTTTTTCTTTTTTTTAAATACCTGAGGTACCACTCCCACTGCCCTCCGAAGGCTTTCCAGGCTCACATCTTGTATATTTTGACCAGCAAGGTAAATGTTACCCTTTTGAGGCTCATAGAAGCGAAACAACAGCCTTACTATTGTGCTTTTTCTGAAATTGGAGACAAGGAAAAGTTATTTAGCTCTAATTGGCATTAGGGAACCCCTGTTTTAAACCACTGTAGTCATTTTATTATGATAAAGAAAAAATATTACATTGGGAATCATCAATCAATGATGCAGAATTTTATAAATAACTGAATTACCCACCCTGACCCACTACCTCCTACAATGGCCACTTTCTTTCCTGCAGGGACTTCAAAAGATATTCCCCTAAGGACTTTCTGCCCCTCAATGTATTCAAAATGCACATTGTCAAAGGCCACCGAAGCTGTCTGTGGTGTGATCTGAATGGGAGATGCCATTGCTTTGTCCTAGTAGGGAAGAGAAAAAAAGGCACTTTATACACCATGTAGAGTATAGCCATACAGACAATTTTCTAATTCACAGAGAAAAAAGGGGGAAATGGGGAAAGAAGAGGTTTATAAGTATGGTTAGACCACTTCCAAGCATGCTTTTAAAGATTTGTTTTTTTCAGTCCTAAGGTCAAAAACTGTTTTTGAGCAATTTTGGGGGGCAGGCAGGGGGATGGTGGGCAGGGGCATAGGAAGTTGAGGAAAGACAATCACACATTTTATATCATTTTTAGCAGAAGTAAATCAAGTGCAAGTATAAATAATTCAAGTTAACAAAATGTAGCTTCTAGGTATAATATTTGCTAACACTGTAAGGTTTCTAAACATGGAAGTAAAAAGCTCTAACAACCTCTTAATACATATGATAGCTCCAATTCCTACAGAAAAGAAACCAGTTTGCTAACGTGGTGATGTAAATATTCCCTTAGAATAATCTTATTAATGGGATGATGCCCACATGCTTTTAAAAAGGTACTGAATAGATTACTTACTTTAATTCGAGTGTCTACCTTGAGTAGAGTAAACAAGGTGTTCATATCTATGAGTGCTTGTCTAGTTTCTCTATATACAGTTCCCAGAAAGTTAAGGGGTAATGAAAGTTGAAAAAGCAGTCCATTCACCATTACTAGATCTCCAACGGTAAGGGTACCTTAATATGTAGTTGGCAGAAGGAAAAAAAGGGGGGGGGCAGTTAGATGTTATAAATTTTTCCAGATTAAGATAGAAAGTTTATAGTCTATTATTCTGGAATATACTTCAAAATGCATATAACTAGCAACTCTTAAGATCTACTCAAATCTCAAAGCATTTTAATCCATGATTTAGGAATACAGGGAACTTGATGTAAGTAGAATGGGAAATGCTCACCCATACACTATACATAATATTAAAAAAAAAAAAAGAATGGTTTAAGGAAGATAGAAATGGATGGCTAGAGCCTCTCTTTTCTTCCTAGGACAGTTGCAAGTTTCTTTGTAATGTGAAATAGAAAATTTTTTAAAAAGTATGTATTAAAAAATTGGAGCAAATGAGTATCATGATTGGGAATGATAAACCATGTATTAAGGTCACAGTGAATGAATAAATCCTGAGTGGGCAGGTTACAGCAAGGAGGCAGAGACATTATTTACTTTTGAAATATTTTTACAAATCCATCTTTCTAGATTAAAATGTAACTAGTAATTGTAAAAAAGAAAGTGTTTGCATTTTGGTCCTTTGGACTAAACACTAAATTAATTACATTGCTTTCCAGGTCCACAAGAGAAATTAGAAATATTAGATGCTAAAAAAAGAAATTACTCCTGAAAGAATCAGTATGTAGCCCCACAAAATGTATAAACAGTAGTCCTAATTAATGAGGGAGCTAGTGCTAACTAAACTTGTAGTGTCAAACAAAAGGAAGTTAAAAAAACATTATCATACAATTAAGAAAACACATTCTGATACAAAAAGGAAAGTACTCCAAGGATGTTAAAGCACCTTATTGAATATGCTTTGTAATAAGACCAATATATACATTCCTTTCATTAATCTTTATTTACAAAGGTTAAGTAAAACATCTAAAAATGTGAAAACTGCAGATCCATTACCTGCCACAATTCCCTGACTGGCGAGCACCATAATGGCCGTTAAACCAACACTGAAAATAGCACTTTGACCAAAGTTCAGCATAGCCAGAGTAGAGGTACTTTTCAGTGAAGCAGTCTCATATGTCTTCAGAAATCTATCATATCTTTGTGCTTCATAGTTTTCATTATTAAAATACTACAAAACATAATACAAAAGTAGTAATTACATGCAAGTACAATTAGAATTTATTCTCTTAAGTGATTAGTATCCTTTTCTTCAGACCTTATGTATGGATACAGTTTTATACTGCATACTCCATTTTAAAAACCGACTTTTAATACATTGGACTATGGTACTCCTGCAGTTTTCCACAATGAACTGTATTTGAAAAGTCCATGAAATTTATCCCATTTTGATGAATGCCTGGTTAATTTAAACCCAGATCTAAAAAAGCTGTTAATGGGAATGCCTGGCTGGCTTAGTCGGTGGAACAGACAACTCTTGATCTCGAGGTTTTGAATTTGAGCCCCACAATGGGTGTAGAGATTACTTAAAAACAATAAATTTTTTTTTTAAAAAGCTGTTAATGGCATTTCCTTCACAAAGCCTTCCCCTGATCCTCCGAGACTGAACTGACAGTTCTCATTGCGCCCCTGGCCATTAAACCTTCTTATATAGTCACCTGCATACTTACTTAAATTCTCCCAGTTGATGAAGTTAATTCTGGGAGGGCAAGGATTAAATGTTAATCATTTTTTTTACCACCCTCCCCCATCACAAGACCTAGCATAGTGCTTTGGACACAAGAGGCATTCAGTAATATTTGTTAAATGGAAAAATGAACACATAAATGAAATAATTAATGAAAAGCACTATGCTAGGTACTCTGGTAGAGAGTCAAGAACTTACATGTCAGTGTGATTAGCTTAGTGTTCATTCTGAATCAAGGTGCTACTTATACTCCTCTCACTTATGAATTAATTCAGAAGGTAAAATTCTGATGCTGCCACACAAAAACGGAGGCGGAAAGAGAGGGCGATTGCCAAACAAAAAAAAATAATAAAGTACAATTACTCCTTCATACCTAGAGATTCTATCCTAATCTGAAACTCTAACTTAACAGCACCTATTCAATTACATGGCAGAACAAATCTGTGTGCAGTGTGAAAGGCAGGGGAAAGTATAATTAAACATATTACCTTCACAGTTTCATAATTCAGCAGCGAGTCTATGGCAGCGTTACCTGCATCATTATCCGCTTTGTTCATTTCTATTCTAAACCTAGTTCTGTAAGACAAAGATGTGCATAGGCATGAAATTTTCGCCATAAATGCATTACTAATTTCTGAACCTTGCCTGGCTCCTGGGAAATATTTACCTCCACCGTGTAACAGCAACTGTGAATGCTGTGTATGCACCAAGTGTCCCAAGGGTTACCAGTGCAAACTGGGCACCACACCTGTAATACTGGAGAAGCCAAAGAAGAAATGATAAACAGTCATTGTTCTTGCCAAATAGTTTCTAATATACAACAGCAAATATCAGCCAAAGGTTTTAATAAAAATATGTTGATGGGAAGTTGTATAAATAAATAATTGTGTGAGGAATCAAATACCTTAGAAAAGCTACTTTTGCTAGCAAGGGAAGAAAGCCAAACACTTGCCACATTGATACTACTGTCAAATGCTGATAAAAAATAATGCAATAAGCATTAAGCATAAGAGGAATAAAGAGTGTATATATATACACTTTTAATTACAAAATATGAAATTGTTTAGAATGTTATAAATGGTGAATAAAAATCTAGATAATCTGAGCATACCAGTCCAAAGTCATATACAAATATGACTGCCAACAAAAAAATTACAAGCACTAGTTAATGACGTGATCTATGTGTAGAACTGACCAGCTCTTTACAATAACAACATGATAAAGATTTTGGACAGTCCCGTGAAGCTTGTGGCAAAATAATTAAATTAACTATATAACCCTTCTGATACGACGTAATTCTGTTTTCAAACCATGAGCATTCAATAGCACAACAGCTTCAAGTACTAAATAACCACTAATGAGAATGTAAGATAAAAGCTTGTTATGAAAAATGTTTTACTTACCAAAATACCACTGACAAGAGTCACCTCAAACATGATGGGAAGAAGATTAAATACTAAAGCACTCAGGACAAAACTGATACCCCTTGTCCCTCTGTCAATAGCCTTTGATAAAGCTCCTGTCTGTCTACTCAGGTGGAAAGCCAGATCCAGGTTGTGAAGATGAAGAAAGACATTTCTGGCAATTCTTCGGATGGAGTTTTGGGCTACCTTGCCAAATACTGCATTTCGAACTTCATTAAAAAAGGCAGCTCCAGCCCTTGATACACCATCTAACAATACATTCAAAAGAAAAAAATGGGTTGTAAAAACATTAGAATCATAGGAGTGTAAAATGATAAGTATATAGTAAGAAAGTGTTTATACAATAAATGAATGCATCACAGAACACTTACATTAAAAGAAACCGAGAAAGAAAGCATCTAGCCTAGTGAGTACCAATCTTTCCACTACTATGGATCCATCTCATTGTTATTTTCCTCTATAAATTCCAGATGTTGAAAGATTGTTTCCAACTAAATACTTCTAATAAATAGCAGTCCATATGGCCTTATTGTGGACAAATTTTAATCTACTTCAATTCCCCCAAACAGCAAATGATAAAATCGAGGTCCTAAAAAATCAAGTGCCTTGACTAAAGCATGCCCCCATTCAAGTCTCTTGAGTCTCATAAAGTGTCCTTTCTAATGCATAAGGGAACAAAGCAACATGTTCTGTTCTTTACAAATGGTAAATTTGTGTCATGGCTATTGACTATAATTTAGTAAAACATTAATGTACATATACCATTACTTAGTTATTTCCCATTAAACAATTAACAACAACAGCAAGAAAATAACTAGAATTACTGAAAAGCTTATCTGATAAAGAGACTATTAGAGTGGTTGTTAAGAACGTCTTATTTCATGTTATTTTTTTCTAGAACTTGAAAAATGAGGCTGTTATAGGATTTTTAGAAAGTATATCATAAAAAGAATTTTTAAAAACTATGTATCAAAAATCTCACATAAAATGATAAACATCCAAAATGTTGTGTTTGTGGTAAAAAGGTCATCTGCTCTAAATATGATGAAACCCTCTTGAAGAAAGTCAACACCTGTAGACAGATCAAAGAATCACACATACAGCCAATCAGAACTGCTGTTGCCATGGTTGCAACTGTATTTGGTGCATCACTCAGGTTCAGCATGTTTCCCGACATCTGGTTGAGGCTGTCTACAGCATATTTAAACATGAAGGGGACCACAATATTCATGGCCTAAAAATATAAAAGCAGCAATTAACCATCATATACAAATATATTTTCTTAAAAGTACAAATATTTACCTTAAGTTAGTATTTATGGGAATGTTTAGATATTAATCATTTACTAGTAATGAAATGATTTTCCCAGTTTATAAAGATAAAATCTTTGGCATTGGAGAGCTGTCATTTCAGAATTCCTAACTCACACTGACTGCCATGTTAATATTCACTTAAAAGCTACATGCATTAGTCAAATGCTCATGCCTCCATGAAATAATCCCTGATCATCCACTCAAAATGCTCTCGCCATTATCTGAAATTGCTACAGAGCTTATGGCACTTAAGGCAAACTGCCTTATTGTTATTTATAATGTATATATTTTTCTTTCTTACTAGATCATTGATGACTGTATCATATTCCTTTTTTTTGCCCCACACTTGTTGAGTACTACTATGCTTTGTTATTTGTGGGTATTCAATCAAATATGTAAAATTATTTGTTCACCAAAATAAGAGCAAAACTAAAATTATTTAGCAAAAATGTATCTCAAAAGCAGATAAATTACAAGCATCTGTGGCTGATTCACTACTGAGGAAAAAAACACAACACTGGTAGATCTATTTGCCCCACAAAAAGATTATTTTGGCCACAGAAGAGGTGGGGGAATGAGTGAAATAGGTGAAGGGAATTAAGAGGTACAAATAAAATAAATAAGTCATGGAGACAAAAAGTACAGCATAAGAAATATAGTCAGTAACACTGTAATAATGTTGTATGGTGACTACATTTTTGTGGTGAGCACTGAGTAATGTATAGAATTGTTGGATCACTTTGCTGTACACCTGAATATTGACATTGTATGTATGTCAACTATAACTCAATAATAAAAATTTAAGAAGATTCCTTTGCTCCAATACTAAACAAAACCCACTAAATACCAAGCTAAGCTTTCAAAAACCAACCTATTTCCCCATGAGAATACACCAAAAAATAAGAAAATTATGGGTATACTGCTTTCATATATTCAAGGCAAATATTCAATCACATTCCACATTTTCTGCAAGGTTATAGTAACAAAAACACCAACTATCATTTAAGAACAGAAAACTGATTAGACTGCCAAAGCTTTAAAGAAATTAAATTCATGTACATTAATAACATGTGAAAGCAATTCTTTTTTTTAAAGACTTTACCTATTTATTTGAAAGAAAGCACGAGCAGTGCGGGTGCGCAGAGGGAGAGGAAGAAGCAGACTCCCTGCTGAGCAGGGAGCCCAAAGCAAGGCTTGATCCCAGGACCCTGCGATCATGACCTGAGCTGAAGGCAGCCGCTCAACCGACTTAGCCACCCAGGCGCCCTGAAAGCAATTCTATAAGGCTTAACAAAAACAATGAAATCCCAGCTCTTGTTAATGTCCCATTATTATATCATTCATCTTTGTTAAACATAAAAAATATTGTCAACAAGCCTAAGTTTAGCTGACAGCTGACAGGAGCTACGTAGATCTTACCAATCAAGATTTCAAAGTAAAGTATACAAGTGTCCTAGCAACCAAGCAGGCTCAACAATATCATTAAAATACAAAGCAGATGTTGGAACACTTTAAAAAATGTAACACTGTGATAACTGATCTCACTGATATGAGGAATTTGAGAAACAAGACAGAGGATCATAGGGGAAGGGCGGGAAAAATGAAACAAGATGAAACCAGAGAGGGAGATAAACCGTAAGAGACTCTCAATCTCAGGAAACAAACTGAGGGTTGCTGGAGTGGAGGGGTGTGGGAGGGATGGGGTGGCTGGGTGATGGACATTGGGGAGGGTATGTGCTATGGTTGGCTGGGTGATGGACACTGGGGAGGGTATGTGCTATGGTGAGCGCTGTGAATTGTGTAAGACTAATGAATCACAGACCTGTACCCCTGAAACAAACATTATATGTTAATTAAAAAAAAGAATGTAACACTATGGGATAAATTGCTTAAAATTTTTTCTAACTTCTAAAATATAATCTAATAGAATAGCAGGTTTGAAGTATGATAAATTTCTCAATTTTGACTTCTACAGAATCATGTAACCTCAAGCTCTTGCTTCTGCTTGAAATGGTCTGCCTGCCTGATTTACCTTTCTTCCTCTCCATTTTTAAAACCCACTCTGAATACCATCCCCATCATGATGCCATCTCTGAAACCTGCAGCCCATTTGGCACTTTCCATTTTCCAACTCCTCTTTTTCACAGTTTATACCTCAGTATTTGTCTTTTTTACTATATATTTATCATTTGCTTTCTAGGTACAATGTTCATGGATATACTGGCTTCTCAACCTCAGTTCACAAACCTTTTGTGGCAAAACAAACATTTTGAGAACAACAGTTACCAGAGACACGTATGGTGCTAGGTAATTTCACAAAGGTGAAAGCTGAATGAAATAATAATTCTGTTCAATGGACAACCCTGTAATTGAGGAAACAGGTTCCATGAGGTTTAACGATCTGTCTGGTAAGCAACAGAGCTAGGATTAAAATCCAAGACTGACTTGAAATTCAGAATTTTTCCTAGTATACCACAGCCATATTAGCAGCTCATAAGGCAAGGGACCATATTATTCTACTTCATTTGTACCCTAAAGTAGATGCTCTCAAATGTGCTGCTGAAACCAGCATAGAGTATGGCACAAGTAATTTAAAAAAATTTGAGCAGATTCCAGGGTTTCTGTATAATAAGACCACATCCCCTCACTTGCATTCTAATACAATTTCTTGAGTGGGAAAAAAAGTGACAGTTACAGCTAGGACGCAATTCTCGTAACTTACAGTCTATTATATCTTTGCCACAGCCAGAGTGAGTAGTGACTAAAACTAATATATCACCAAGAAAGTTGTGTTATTTTACCTTCTTGAAAATATGTTTTGGTTTGGTCGAATTTGGGAGCATCCTCGTAAATGTGTAAAGAATGTGAGTATCATCTGTCCTGTATTTTTATTGACAGAAAAAAGGGAGCTAGCACACTGCTAAGAACATGTACTACCTCTAATAATAACTGTTGATTACTTCCAGTTTTCCCAAAAAAAGTAATTTTAGAAAGGAAAGAAATTTAAAAACACCAAAGACATAGAAAGGAGTATATTATGTGTAGGTGTTTGTATTAGTACATGTGTGTTGGCTGCACTGGCCTTGTGGTATTTTGAGCATAGGGGGTGGCACATATTGGTTTTCCCTAATGTTCTGCTTTCACGAGAACTACACTTAAACCACCTCAAGAGAAATGTTAATTTTTAAAAACTTTTTTCTTTTGAAGTAATTGTAGACTCACAGGAAGTTGCAAAAGTAGTACAAAGAGACTCATAACCCTTCACTGTGTCTCCTAATGATAACATCTTATATAGCTGTAGTTGAATATCAAGACCAAAAACATACACTGGCACATTAATATTAAATAAACTACAGAACTCCTTCAGTTTTTACCATATTTAAATGTGTATTCATGTATGTGTGTGGTTTGTATGTGTTGCCTATATGGTTCTATGCTATTTATCCCATCTTCAGATCCATGTAACCATCACCACAATCAAGATACAGAACTATTCCATCACAACAAAAGAAACCTCTTGTGCTACCTCTTTATATTCACTTCCATCCCACCTTGCCTCACACCTAAATCCCTGTCCCCTGGCAATCACTAATCTGTACTTGATCTCTACAGTTTAGTCATTTTGAGAATATTATATGTATGGAATCATGCAGTTTGTAATCTTTTAAGAATGACCTTTTTCTTCACTCAGCATGATGCCCCTGAGGTTCATCAAGGATGATGCATGTATCAATAGCTTATTTTTAAAGATTTATTTATTCGAGATAGAGAAAAAGCATGCACGTGCATGGCGGGAAGGGATGGGGGAGAGGGAGAGAGAGAGAGTCTTAAGCAGACTCTGCGCTGAATGTGGAGCCCAACATGGGGCTCAATCTCATGACCCTGATACCACGACCTGAACTGAAACCAGGAGTCTGATGCTTAATCAACTGTGCCACCCAGGTGCCCCTCAATAGGTCATTTTTTATAGCTAAGTACTATTCCATGGATGTACCAAGTTTATTCAACCATTCATCTCTAAAGGACATTTTCATTGTTTGTAGTTTTGGACTACAAATAAAAAGATGCTGTGGAAATTTTCATACAGGTGGTCATAAGTTTTCATTTCTCTGGGATAAATGTCCAAGAGTAATTGGTAAATCATATGCTAATTCTATACTGAACTTTTAAGGAAACTGCCATACTCTTTCTGAGTGGCTGTACCATTTTATATTCCCACCACCAGCAAAGTATGAGTGATCCAATTCCTCTGCATCCTCACCAACATTTGATATCATCACTATTTTTTATTTTAAAGCTTTTTTTTTTTAAGTAGGCTACACATTGGAGCCCAATGTGGGGCCTGAACTCATGACCCTGAGACGAGGACCTGAGCTGAGATCGAGAGTCAGCCGCTCAACCGACTGAGCCACCCAGGCACCCCTTTATTTTGAAACTATTTTAATAAGTGTATAGTGAAATCTTGTGGTTTTAATTTGTGTTTCCCTAACAGCAATGACGTTGAACATCTTTTCATATTCTGATTTTCCACCCATATATCCTCTTCGGTTAAATATCTGTTCATGTCTTTTGCAAATTTTTAACTGGGCTGGTTTTTTGTTTTTGTTTTTTGATACTGAGTTTAAGAGTTCTCTATATATTTTCTAGATATAGAGGTCTTTGTTGGGTATATGATTTGCAAATATTTTCTCCTAGTGTGTAGCTTGTCTTTCATCCTGCTGAGGAGCCTAAACTTCTACCCCACCTAGCAGCCATGAGGAGTCCCTTTCTTTAGGAGTCAATGGAGGCCAAGGTAAGAACCTGGGCTTTTAACCCCACCTGAAGTAATGAGGCAGCAGCCCATCCCCACTGGAGCACTATCATAGGAGGCCTGCTAAACAAAAGATTTTTTAAAAAGCCAGAGTCTCATACCATAATGCCC